TTTTTTTTGCATTTTTGGGTTGCTTTTATTTTGGATTGTTTTTGCATTTTTTCAAAGTGGGCATTTCCTAGTGGAAGCCCACAAGAAGACAACACAATTGTAGCCTGGCGCGTGCCAGAAGCTCACTCCAAGGCTCCCGGCCGAGCCGCAGCCAGCCAAAATGCTTCACGTCGCCTGGCCTGGCCCAGTTGCCTGGCAGCTGAGTCAGAGGTGTGCGTATAAGGCAGAATGCAACCGACGGCCACACCTAGAAACGGAGCCACAGAGAAAGGGCAGAGAAAGGCAGCGGAGCCACGGCAAAGCGTGCTTCATCCCGCTGTCGGAAGCCCTTGAACAGCTTTAGCTGCCCCATGCAGCCTTCGCAAGCCGTCGAAAAAAACTCCCACACAAGCTCCTCCCCTCAACACCATGCTCGTGCCCTCCCTCCAAGGCTCCCGGCAATCTCCTTCCACGCTTTTCCACCATCTAATTCGAGACCAAAAATCATCCAAAAACGGGAGGGGGTGCAGCCAGCCAAAATGCCTAACGTTGCCTGGCACGTCGCCTTCGGGGTCCATAAAACTAGTTGTAGCCTGGCACGTGCCAGAAGCTCACTCCAAGGCTCCCGGCCGAGCCGCAGCCAGCCAAAATGCTTCACGTCGCCTGGCCTGGCCCAGTTGCCTGGCAGCTGAGGTGTGCGTAAACAGCACCGTCGACACACTCTGGATCTGCTTGGGCAGAGAAAGGGCAGAGAAAGGCAGCGGAGCCACGGCGAAGCCCTCTGGATCTGCTTGGCCTGGGCAACTGTTTCACCCTGCGGTGTCCCGGGCGCCGCCCCGCCTAGGCGTCAGCTAGGCAGGGGTCGGCGGATTATATTTCACATCATGGAATGTATTATACATACATTATATAAATATTCTGTTATTATAGTCATTTGGATTGTTCTTGGCACCTTGCACTCTGAATTGGTCTTTGGCATCCACGTCCCTTGCACTTGGCAAGTGGACTTCAAAGCAGCGCAGTGTCCGGTTGACTTCAGTCATACTTCAACAATGGTTGTGACCTCGCACACAGAACAAGTCACACCCGACTTACTCACAGTGACACGAAGGCCCCCAGATGTGTTTGCACATTCATCCCCTGAGTCCATGTGTCTATTCTGGTAGTGAATTCCGAAGCGTACCAGATGGGTGTGTGGGTCACAACAATCTTGATCTGCAGCTAAGTTTTCAATCTTCCACAAATCCAAGGTCGTCTTCAACTTCCTGCGGATGGGCTTTGGCCGGGATGGAAGGGTTGAGAGAAGAGGGAAACCGGGAACCGTACATTAGGTTCTTCATTGGTATTTTTGGTGATTTCTCCATGGTTTTTTAAAAAGAGTATCGAAGAGATGAAACTGGACATTGCAAACCTAGTTCTTAATGACTCCTTTCTTGCTATAGAATGAGCGTGCTACCAAGCAATTAGCGGAGCAGAAACGGATGTACGGCTTCAGCTGCAGAAGTGTAGCTGTTCACACGGGAAACCCAGGGCTGAAGCCGATGTTCTGGACAGATCCCTCGCAAGAAAGATGATCTTGAAAGATCTGATGAACCAGATCCATACGACTGGACAGAAACAAGAACGCTACTAGGAACAAGAAACTACTAGGGGCACCTGGCCTTACTACTACGAGCAAGGACGCTACTAGGGGCTCCTGGCATCGCTACTAGGAGCATTCTTACTACTAGACACTTCAAATGACATTATGGCAACTTTGGTTCTTGCTGTGCCCAGTCTTCCACACCAAAAACGCAGATGAACAAACCTAGCTTCCTCCAGTGAATTCTGAACTCACGGCACCCACCAACCCATGAAAGACGATTCTTACTCCATCAGAGTCTCAAGGCAATCCTCGTAAACTCTGACACTTGGCGAGTAGTTATATACCTCAGAGGATACAGATCTACCTTTTCTTCTCTTGTGGTCCAGGCGGAGTGATTGCGCAGGCTGCAGGGGCCCGCGACGTGGAGGAACTGGTCGCCTGCAGTGTGCGTGGCATTCTGTTGGGTTTGGCGGTCGGCTTGACCTTGAGCATGGCACGCGAGGTGTTGGCATCGCTGCTTTTCGGGATGGTCCTGCACCAGCCTGACCGGGGGGGTTGAGCGGAGGTTTGACAGATTAAGCTTAGTTGAAATTACACACATGGTTACTTAACCAAGAAGCTTGGTGGATGCAAATGGTTAGTGAAACGGACTCTGGGACAGCTATAGCTATGAGTGGAAGAGCGGCAACAAGTAACATCCAAGACCCTTGCAAGAAGTGGCACAGTTCGTTTCGTTGCCACGTATGGTCGCCAGTTGCCCGGTCTGGTCGTTGGTCTCCAGGATCCCGAGACGACCATGGTGGCCCAAAGCTACTTCCAGTGTCGCATTCTGGGAGCCCCTGCGGCCTTGTCCAACTACGTGGTGCAAGCGTGGCTGATCAATGTGCAACGCACTGACATCGCCATGGCGCAAAACGTCCTACTGAATCTCTGCAACGCGGTCCTTTGCGTCGTGTTGGGTGACCTGGCGGTGTTTCTCCCTTTAAGCAGCTTGCAGGAGATTTCTCTTGTTCCACATCTGGTTTCATGTGTTTTTGCATACCCAGAGCAGATTGCCCACAAACCATATGAAAACAATGTGCAGCCATAAATCTTTTGAAGGCTATATGCAGTCTCCAGCACCTCGTCGTGGCCGTTCCAGGTTACGTCCTGGATGGCGGCATCGTTGGAGTGGCCTGGGCCACTGTGCTGTCCAACTACTTGGCGTTTGCCTTCGGCGTCATGCAGATCTCCCGTGTGGCACACACCCTCCCTTGGGTCGCTGGGCTGGAGGGCTTAGGCCATTTTTTCGCAACAGCCAAGCTCGGGGTTCTTCAGCCGTAGCAAAGACTTCGGATCTGGTTCCGGAGCAAGTTCCGAAGCAGGTTCTGGAGCAAGTTCGAGAGCA